TGTACAAATGCTGGTTTTAGACCTTTGAATATTCCCTCTTCTAGAGTCAATGATGGTATATGTGGTATGTACATAATATATTTTTTTCTTCATATCTAAATGTATGTAGTGTACAGTATTTGTGCAGTTAACATTTCCCACTTTCTCTTCATTTAGTTACAAACTTTGCATTATTTCCATTGTTGATATTTGAGGGATATAGTGAGGATATAATCAACGCAAAAAATGTGGATTCACGACTGGCCCTTTGATTTAACACACAAAGAAACAGACTCAAAGTATCTCTGTCAAATTCTTACCCTCGGCCCACCCCCACCCCCCCTCCACTCTAACATATTCAAAAAAAAAACTCTGCACACCGATAAGAAAAATATTTGAGTTAATTGTTATTATTATATTATTATTATTATTATTATTATTAATTTTACAACGTTCATTCAACTGCACAGAAAATGCTTGCCTGCTCACTTTGAAGCCAATTAGTTAATTCCTTTTTCACTTGAGCTGTGTCTACAGTTGCTTGTGTATGTACATTGTATTAGTTCTAGTGAGAGAGTGGATATTCAAAACAACATTTTGTTGCGATGTAGATTGCTGTGATGGTAGTGATGAGTATGACAGTGCAGCCAACTGTCCCAACACATGCAAGTAAGAGTAAAAAATCTCATTGATTCTGTCTTGTTGAGTTAAAGATTACTTTACTGGTTTTACTTTTATTGTGTGACGTTAAACAGTCCTTTCTCTGTGAATCGCACTCAGTTTGCCAAAAATGATTGTTCACTTGAGCCGAGAAGAGAAAGGAGAGCAATATGCCTGTTACCAATTCATTCAGTGTGAAACATATTACCTGAGTGAAAGTTTGCATGGCAACAACAAATTACATGTTGCTGAAATAGTTTTCATGTATAATGAAAATTATTGTTAAAAAATTATGACTAGTGAGATTTGGTAAGGAGGAGAGTAGAGAGAATAATATAGCCATGCAAAAACGTAATGTAAAATCTGTCTGTTTGTCTGTCGGTGTGTCTGTTTGTGTGTCTGTCTGATTGCTCATTAGGTTGGACAGACTAACAAATAAATTATTGGCTCTAATTTATACACAATAATTATTTTTCACAGGCATATTTGTGCATGTTTAACAAGATTTTTATGATGCATGTTTCAGGGAACTTTATAAGGAGCTGTACCAAAAACAGAGAGAGGAGGCTGAGGTGGAAAAACAGGTAAGTGAGTGTAGCCTCTTATGCAACCAATCCAGGGTCCTTCATCAGTATGGTCTATATAAACAAGTTTTGTCAAATCATTGGTTGTCAATGTCAGTATTTACTCTT